AGGTTGGTATTGACTAGGAACTTAACTTTGAATGTTTTTCGTAGTCTTTAAGTTGCACTTGACACCGACATGATCTGCATTAGTGTCACCGTGTGGTGATTAACAGCCCTGGTATGTGACAACTAAATGTAAGTGCTTCTGTCGAGGGCAGCACTTACCGGGGTGGGGCTGCCGTTGAGGGGCGGGGAGGACTGTACAATGAATAACGAATCAGGACACAACATCTCTATGATCTGACTAGTTTCCCACAATACACAGCTGCTCCATGCATTGCAGAATTTGCTCCCATTCTAGCAGAAGCAATAATACGATGCGTGGCTGGATTTAAAGATATTAATCCTTCGTATAATGACATGCGAATGTATGCATGGATACATAATGATATGCATATGCATTTATTCTTGTACAATAAAGTACAACATAACGAGTTTATAATATGACAAAGGGACAATTTGAATACTCATTTAAATAAATATCAAATAACTGTTTAAATATTATTGTGGTATGACTTGTGATATCCTCCATTATTATCTTGAAAACTCGGTTAATACGGAAAATGTCGAATAACTTAAAGAAAATATTTACAGTGGAAAACGTCGACAAACATAAAAAAAAAACTAGCTAGGAAGTGACCAGGTGCATTACTATAGAGAGCAAGTCACAAGGAACGCACCTCTAGCCAGGGAGTGACAAGGAACGAACTTCGAGCTAAGTGACCAGGAGCGCTACTGGCTAGAAAGTGACCACTACAAAATAGAAAGTTACTTCGTATTCACATCTAGGCTCCAAATCACTAGGTACGCAAATCTAGCCAGCACATCCAGGGAACACACATCTAGCCAGCACATCACTAGGAACACACATCTAGTCAGCACATCACTAAGAACACACATCTAGCCAGCACATCACTAGGAACACACATCTAGCCAGCAAATCACTAGGAATACACATCTAGCAAGCACATCATTAGGAACACACATCTAGGCAGCACATCACTAGGAACACACATCTAGCCAGCACATCACTAGGAACGCACATTAAGATAGCAGGTCACTGGGAACGCAACTATAGCTAGCAAGTGACTAGGAACACACACCTAGCCTGCAAGTGACTAGGAACACACATTTAAATAGCAAGTCATTGTGAACACATCTCTAGGTACAAATTGTAGCAAGTCACCAGGAACACACACCTAGCCTGCAAGTCACTAGGAACGCACATCTAGCCTGCAAATCACTGTGAACACATCTCTAGATAGCAAGTCACTGGGAACAAACATCTAGCTAGCAAGTCACTAGAACGCTATTTTGGACAGCAAGTCACTGGGAACGCATCTCTATATGTAGTTAGAAAAGTACAAGGAACGCCCAGTAAGGGGCGTATACTTCGAGCGATAAAGTGACCAGGGAAGAACACCTCTAGCTAGAAAGTGACTTATAAGGACGCACATCTAGCTAGAAAGTGACTTATAAGGACGCACATCTAGCTAGAAAGTGAGTAAGGACACATATCTATCTATAGAAAGTGATTTAGGACGCACATCTAGCTAGAGAAAGTGACTTAAAAGGACGCACATCTAGCTAGAAAGTGACTTATAAGGACGCACATCTAGCTAGAAAGTGACTTATAAGGACGCACATTTAGCTAGAGAAAGTGTCTTTTAAGGACACACATCTAGCTAGAAAGTGAGTAATATTAGTTACACGGATTTTTGGCAGGGTATACGGGATGGTATGACCCTAAAGGGTTTCGTATTTCCTGAGGCCTCAGGAAATACGAAATTCTGTAGGGTCATACCATCCCGTATACCCTGCCAAAAATCCGTGTAACGAATTTATTACCCCTTTGAGTCTTTTATAATAAAAGCAAAGAAAAATAACAGGCACAGTACCTCATTTAGTTTCGTTTTATCAAAATTCCTCGAACTGTTCTTCCTGATTCTTTTCTTTTAAATACGTCCTCAGCATGTTTGCCGCTCGTCTGTTCGACTTTTGTGTGTTATGTGGCACATAGTTAGCCCTTTTGGCGATTATTTCCTCATCAGTATGCGAAGCGAAACGTTTTGCCATTTTATAAACAGCGAAGCAGACGACGAATGCGAGTTGTCTCCCGATGCCCGGTCGCAAGATACAAAGACATGTGACCCGTATACCCCTTGTAAAATCACGTGATTCCACCGTATTACGACTGAGAATCACGTGACATGACCGTATACCCCCTGAGATTTTCGTATACCCCCTGAGATTTACTAATGCGGTTTGGTACACTGTAGTTTTTAACCAATCAGATTCCTAGATTTTTCTCAAAGGGGTAATAAGGACACATATCTATCTATAGAAAGTAATTTAGGACACACATCTAGCTAGAAAGAGAGTAAGGACACATATCTAGCTATAGAAAGTGATTTATAAGGTGACTAAGGACACATATCTAGCTATAGAAAGTGATTTATAAGGACACATAGCTATAGAAAGTGAGTAAGGACACATATCTAGCTATAGAAAATGATTTATAAGGACGCACATCTAGCTAGAAAGTGACTAAGGACACATATCTAGCTATAGAAAGTGATTTATACGGACGCACATCTAGCTATAGAAAGTGGTTTATACGGACGCACATCTAGCTATAGAAAGTGAGTAAGGACACATATCTAGCTATAGAAAGTGATTTATAAGGACGCACATCTAGCTAGAAAGTGACTAAGGACACATATCTAGCTATAGAAAGTGATTTATACGGACGCACATCTAGCTAGAAAGTGACTAAGGACACATATCTAGCTATAGAAAGTGATTTATACGGACGCACATCTAGCTAGAAAGTGACTAAGGACACATATCTAGCTATAGAAAGTGATTTATACGGACGCACATCTAGCTAGAAAGTGACTAAGGACACATATCTAGCTATAGAAAGTGATTTATACGGACGCACATCTAGCTATAGAAAGAGACTAAGGACACATATCTAGATATAGAAAATGTTTAAGGACACATATCTAGCTAGAAAGAGAGTAAGGACACACATCTAGCTATAGAAAGTGATTTAGGACACACATCTAGCTAGAAAGTGACTTATAAGGACGCAAATCTAGCTAGAAAGTGAGTAAGGACACATATCTAGCTATAGAAAGTGACTTATAAGGACGCACATCTAGCTAGAAAGTGACTAAGGACACATATCTAGCTGTAGAAAGTGATTTAGGACGCACATCTAGCTAGAAAGTGAGTAAGGACACATATCTAGCTATAGAATGTGATTTATGACACACATCTAGCTAGAAAGTGAGTAAGGACACATATCTAGCTAAAAAGTACATAAACTAGGAACGTACCTCTAGCCAGAAAGTGGGACTAAGCACACGCACTAGACTTACCACTAGCTAGAATTGGACTAGGGTCATACCTCTAGCTAGAATGTGACCAGAGACGTACCTCTAGCTAGGAATAACTAGGGACTTACATCTAGCTAGAATGGGACTAGGGACGTACCTCTAGCTAGAATTGACTAAGGACATATCTCAAACCAGAAAGTGACTAGGGGCATACCTTTAGCTAGAATGTGACTAAGGACATATCTCAAACCAGAAAGTGACTAGGGGCATACCTTTAGCTAGAATTGGACAAGGGACATACTTCTAGCTAGAAAATGATTAGGGACGTACCTCTAGCTAGAAAATGATTAGGGACTTACATCTAGAAAGTGACTAGGGACTTACATCTAGCTAGAAAGTGGCTAGAAACGCAACAGGGGTAACAAATGGGAAAAGCTTATAAATAGGAATAAGTGAATGAAATTTCATTACTTTCTTAATAACGGAATTGCATGTTTTTTAATATCATTCTACGCATAAAAATAGACTGTATCGTAAACAAGCTAATACGGCTTAAGTTTTATTGATCTGCTTTCTATAAATGGTGCTTAGCTTCTTCATAAAATAGATAGACAGCGACTAATAAAGAAGATAATTATTTAACTGTGAAATAAATATTGTCTATATGTTAGTGAGCTATCTACAAATCTACTTCTACATTGTTAGTCTAATAGAAAAAGGCAGTTTTCCGATTTCGTGCTCTAACATTTCCAATAAGATTCACAATTCAAATTCTTTTATTTCCTTAATACACGATATATGTGGTGTATTTAGCCCGTTAACAATAATTAGGAATTTACTCATTAATTTACACACTTCAGGGCTTGTATACTTACATAAGTTCAAACATTTTATCTAATTTCCATAATTTGCATAGTTACAATCAGTGCATACATCATATATAATGAGGATGATATTAAGATGAATGACAAATTAAAAATTAGTGACTTCGTAATTCTCTTCCTGGTTGGTGTAGATCAACATACTGGTACGTTAGGCAATCTTGGATGGCACAGGGGAAATAACTCTCTGTATGTAACCGATATTAAGGATCCCTGTGCCGCTGCAGTCTGTTACTGCTCAATAGAAACTATTTATCGCGAGAGGATAGTCAAACTATAGCTTTATTATTCAATTCTAAATGGAAAACTACACTTTGGATGAACTTTCCGCTGACCTTTTTTGAGTCAGTTTTGACCGTGAATATTTGATTGTATCTTTTTTTTTATAAAATCGTTAAAAACATTCACAAAATAATAATAATAATAACTTCAAAGAATGAATACGTGCTTTTTTATCACTATAATTTCACTTGTTAGCCCACTTAACAAATTTTAGAAATATAAATACAGAATATAGCCGTTAAAGAAAAAGATACCCTGCACACCATGATTTTTCATAATGAAATAATAATCAACAATGGAAGGAACTCTCGAATTTGTAATATTATTAATTTTAAGTACAAAATTATCATGCATGTATATGTTTACGTTAACTACGTGGCAGTGTTATCTAAGTCCGTGGTTTATAGGTAGTACGTCGGGGTAGCATTAGTTTATTTACAAACAAGCAATAAGATTGCTAAAATAATGCCATGTCTGTTTCATTGTATTGAAAACAAAAACTAAACAAAAAATGCAAGTCGTTCAACGGTCTAGTATCGTCGGTAAACTTTAGGTCGCGTAGGCGCACTACTTCGAAGAAGAATTACAAGCATGGATTTAACCTGAATGTCCACAACAAATATGGCGGGTAATGAAGTCCGTCTTGTGAAAAACAAGAAAGCCAAGTCAAAAGTATGGACGTATTTTAACCTGAAAGAAGACAGTCTAGGGACAACGGTGCCGAACATAGCAGTTTGTTCATTGTGTGATTCAGAAGTGCGGCATGCAGGTGGGACAACAAATTTGGCTAGTCACTTACGCCGACACCACGGGTTTGTGGCGTTCAGTGATGAGACTTGTGAACATGCTAGATCCAGTAACGTACTCTCCGACAACAGATACAAACGTCAACAGACTCACACACACATGGTAGCAACCAGTACCACGACCAATCCAAAGTATCCGGCATACTCAGAAATGGCACAGACACTTACAAACAAGCTTGCATGTTTCATAATTAAAGGCTTGCTTCCATACAGCGTTGTGGATTCTACTGAATTTAGGGATTTTGTATCCTCACTTGACCCAAGATACGAAGTTCCAAGCCGGAAAGAACTATCTGATGTTGTGATTCCGAAAATGTACGACAAAACAAAGACAAATGTATTATCAGAAATTGCTTTTGCTGATCAGGTATACATATAATATCTGTATATTTTAATGTGATGTGGTCAATTCGTCACCGAATCGCATCCTTTTCCAAACATGTAAACCGATTGAAACCAACAGTAGGACGAGTTGGGATGCTTGCTATTGGCCGTCGATACCGACTATATTTTACTCTCCTTAAAGTTACGCTGATCTTGAAAAGTTACAGGAAAACATTTAGATTAAACTTTATTTCTCTACCTCCATTGGGGCCTTTGTACAATTTGGACCATACATTTGTTTTACAAAATTTTGAAAATATGTAAACATGATAACATTAAAGAACATTTACCAAATCATAAAAACCTAAAAGTATATATATGTTTTTAAAGAAATATTTTCATGATGGTATTAATGTTGAGTAACTAATTAAAGAAAATCATAGAATCCTGCAGTCTGTCAAAATCTGTTTGTACCATGCATATAGTATAAAAGCACTGAACTCAATTGGCCCAAATATTAATTTGGCCATGTGTCGGAGCTTATCTGTCATGGAGCAGCGTCTGTTGTTTATTGTCCTTACAGACTTTCAACTAAATTGGATAAGGAGCAGCATCTAGGAGAGATCATTCATTGTTGTAGAATTGATAGATGCACACGCCTACAAGCCTTTACAATCATATTTGTTATATCTATATGTTTCAGACTGCCATTACAACAGATGTTTGGATGTCCCGGTCTGCTGAAACCTACATCACCATCACATCAATACATATAACCAAAGAATGGCAGCTGAAAACGTTTGTTCTGCAGACCAGACCCTTACCATGGACCTACACAGGTCATTGAAGCTTTTAAAATGAAAAATATCAATTATATATAATATATAAACTTTATTTATTTTACAATAATTATCAAACAAGTTTTTTCAACTTATATTAATCACTATTGCTTGCCTGGATGTTAGAGTGCGGGGGGTCTTACTGTGGGAGGAAACCGGAGTACCTGGAGAACACCCATGTAGTTGGACAGGTGACCCCATACCTTTTCACATCTGATCGGGGAATCGAACACCGGGCACCTTGGTGAAAGGAAAGTGGGCTATCCACTGCACCACCCAACTTCCCAATATCAATTATAGATGTATTATGAAATGTCAAGCTATTTTATATTGACTGGAATTTCTCACCAAATCAGAAAAAGACTAATATTTAATTTCTTTGATTAGAATGTATTTGTCTAAGTTTTGTGGTGAATGACAGTTATATATTATACCCCCTTTTATATAATCTGTAAGAAGTTTCAGTTACCTCTCTTGTTATGTGATTACCTGTGTTATGTGAATAGAAATTTACCAAACCTCTTTCAAACTCCCCTGTATTGTGTAATCTCAAATATGACCGTTATGTGTGAATTGGAAGTGAAATAAATAGTGTCTGTTTAAAACCTACCCACTCATGTTTCTTCACACATCTACATAATTGCATATTATAAATTTAACTGATCATGAGTTGTCCATTCTTTTTCAGATTTGCCTCACCTATCCCTTACCTACAAAGAGTGTTAAAAGAAAACTAACTTCTATTGGATATCTGTTGAATTTTAAATGAAAGTGTTATTTTTTATTTGTAGGTGGCGACCTTGCTAGGTTGTTGTCAGATGTCTGCTGTGAATGGGGTATCCATACATTTCCAGTTCCGCCTATCGTTTCTGATAATGATGGCAATATTATTCAGGCTGGTCATCTCCTTGGATGTGAAATGCATTTCAAATGTTTTGCACAAACCGTCAATATTGCTGCACAGAAAAGCCTCAACGTGAAAGCTGTTTATGACATCTTGGCCAAGATTCGTAAACTTGTTGTGTTTTTTAACAGTAGTAAGATGGCTAGTACTTTGCTGCAGAATCAGGCAGATTTATTTTCACTGACACAACACAAGCTTGTTAATGACGTGTGTACGAGATGGAACAGTATCTACGACATGCTGGCGAGGTTCCTCGAGATACAGAATGCAGTTTCTGGAGCGCTTCGGTCAAAAGAACTGGGAATAGTGATGGACAGTGACATGCACAATCTCTCCGATGAAGAAACCACTCTGGCGGAGGATGTGGTGGAGTGTCTGAGACCACTAAAGACTGTAACATCCACACTGTGTACAGAGGGCAGCACCACTCTCTCCACAATCCTCCCCATACAACACAAGCTCATCGACATGGACCTGACAATACAGGATACTGATGGGTCATCCATCAAAGAGATGAAAAATATAATAAAAAATGAATTGACCGACTCTTACAGCCACCAGGAGGATATTCTGTCTGTGGTGACTGCCCTGGATCCAAGGTTTAAGTCTCTGCCATTTTTGAGCGAGGAAGGCAGACATGCAACATACAATTCAATGGTTGCAAGGGCTGCAGACCTGGATAATAAACTACTGGTGGAAGTGAAAACAGAGCCAGGCATGGAGGACCAAACTCAGACACAACCACAGTGGCCGGGTATGGAAACATTTGATGAGGATACATACGATCATGGCAAACCTACATCACCAAAGAAGGCTAAATGTGACAGTAATATATATAACTCAACACCTTCAAAATCTACCTTACAAGATATACTGGGCGATGTGTTTGTATCTCCTGTCGAGATGCCCATGAAGAAGTCCAGTCTGGATTTGATAGAAGAAGAAGTACTGATGTACAAACAGCTTCTCCCAATTCCCCTGCAGGGTAACCCACTGTTGTGGTGGAAAACCAATGAACACAAGATGCCTCACATAGCACGCTTGGCTAAATCGCTGTTATGTATCCCTGGAACTAGTGTTCCCTCGGAGAGAGTGTTCTCCACGACTGGGGACGTGCTCATGGCTCAGAGGGCTTCTCTCAAGGGCAAGCATGCAGACAAACTCCTCTTTTTGAAAACAAATATGTGATTTTTTCTATAAATGTATAATCAAAGAAAAAAAGCGTTATTGTTTTGTTGTTGAACTTAAACTTGAAGGAACACAGGAAGTCTGATCTTCAAGTCACCATACCATTCTGTATTGTTACTTCAGTAATTTGGTAATCAGAAATCTGAAACTACATTTTGAGATTCTTAACAATATCTCCTTAAATACTGTACCCTGAACTATTCATTTTGAAGTTTTCCATCTTTCAATAAGACTGCTTTCACACAATATATATCTTTATTATCTAAACACTTGAGATGTTCAAATATTTCAGTTTTAATGATTCTTCTGATATATGTTTATACGTAACTATCACACTGTTGTGAGGGTAATGTACAGTAAGATAATGGGTACAGGCCTTATATGGCAGTACAGGTAGGGTGTAGTGTTTGACACAGAAATAGCACCCACTTTCTATATGTATATGATCCTATTGGTGTATAACTGATACAAGATGGCTCAATCCACCAAACTGTTGTAGTGAAAACAGCACGAAGATTGATTAAGATGTATCTGTTTTATATTTGTATTGATGAACAGTGTCGTGTAAGAGTGGAATGATGTCAGAATTACAGTAGTTCCCGACCCAAGGTGGAGCATTGCCGTCAAGCTCATCAGAGTTGTGTCCCTTGCAAGTGTGAGGCCAGGGCAGAAGATAGAGGGACATACAATCCTTGCAGTGATGCATTAAGAAAGAGATATCCAACATAAGAAAGTACAGTATTGTGAAGTATATATACATCTTTCATTGTGTTTTGATATGCTTTAAAATCCCGTCCCCAAACACTAAAAGCTAAGGTTTCTTTGCGTTGTGAAGAATGTGTCCACTTTCAAACCAAGAGCTCACAGATTATCCCTTGTATCGATGTGTACAGTCACGTCCATACTTAATCACATAAGCAGCTCTTTTTGCTGATTACCACATGTTCTTTGGGGGAAATGTCGTTAAAGAAACGGTCAATATTTTTGCCCAATTTTTGGATTTCGCCCAGTGTCAAATGTACCGTTCTGTTCAAATCACAAAATGTTTCAAGTAACTTTTACTATGTGTGATGTCACAAGTTATTAACTCCGATTTAATTATAGCACGTATTTAGATTATTTTTATTGCAAATGCATTTAATGGACCACCGTAGCTGACCTCACATACTGATACTAATAAGCGATACATAAATATACTATAATCACGGACTAATTAGATAACATACAAATGCATGTATTTTTTAAAGGATTTTGGCCTTTTTACTGAGTGTTGGTCTAAATTCTTAAAACGTCTAGAATATTACTCTTCACTTCACCAGGGACATCCCTGACTTCACAAAAGGTCAAAATTAAACATACGTACTATTTCAAAATTCCGGAACCAGTTGTTGGGATATCACAAGTAACTTGACGTGATAGCTAATTAAGTTTCATTGCCATTGGTAGTACACCAAACATCTGTTGTTTCACAAATATGTTTTGCTGCATTTTATTTTGGAAATTCATCGTCTAACTTCCATAGGTACCAGGTACCATTTTTGCACGTTCGTATACATTGTATCACAATATCGAGATATGTACAACTCTGGTAGATTCGGGGATTGAATCAAAGTACTCTCGAAACAACTGTAGACTGGTGGATGTTGAGTCAGAACAGTCGAAATACTCATGTGGGTTCGGAGACATTTAGTCAATAAAGTCCAGATCATCCCGTGTGTTTGGGGAAACTAAGTACAAAAATCTAGATACTCCGATGATTTGGGGGAATCCGATGATTTGGGGGAAACTTGAGTCTAAAACGTATTTCTGAATTCTCCTGAGAGTTAGCTATAGGTGAACTGATATTAGTCAAAGTAGTCGTGATGCCCCTGAGAGTTTGGGGATATTGAGTCAAAGTAGTCTTGATACCCCTGAGAGTTTGGGGGTATTGAGTCAAAGTAGTTTTGATACCAATGTAAGATCAGGGATATTGAGCCAAAGTAGTATGGACACCCCTATGAGTTCGGGGATATTTGGTCAAAGTAGTTAATATACCACTGAGTATTCGGTGATATTTTAGTCAAAGCAGTCTTGATTTCCCTGAGATTTCGGTGATATTGAGTCAAAGTAGTTTTGATTCCGCTGTGAGTTAGGGGATATTTCATCAAAGTAGTTATGATACCACTGTGAGTTAGGGGGTATTAAGTCAAAGTAGTTTTGATTCCGCTGTGAGTTAGGGGATATTTGGTCAAAGTAGTTATGATACCACCGAGAGTTAGTGGGTATCGAGTCAAAGTAGTATGGATACCACCGAGAGTTTGTGGGTATTGAGTCAAAGTAGTTTTGATACCACCGAGAGTTTGTGGGTATTGAGTCAAAGTAGTCTTGATACCTCAAAGACGTTGAGTGTACTGTTATACTCCAGAGTGTCCGGGGATATTGAGTGTAAATAGAATAGTCAGCTGTGATTTATTGAACATAGAATTCGGTTACTGTATTCCAATTATTAATCCTTGAGGCGAGTATGGGGAATCGAAGCATATATTTGCATTTTACATGTAGTTGCATTGAACTACACAAATAATACAGCACACCAATTACCTACATGTACATATACCTTACCTGGTACACATATTATACACTCTACACTGTATACAGCTATATATGTACCTGTAGAAAAATATCAAAAGTCTTCTATTCACCTTTAATATAAAGACCATTACTAATACGCCTACTTACTCGTGTGTTTACATTGACAATACATCACACAATGTACGGGTTATAAATGTGTCGAGGTAAGCCTTTCCCAACAATACCGGACTTTAAGATTGTAAATTGTGTTGTTGCTTAGGGTTGTAAACCAATATACCGACAACGAATACAGCTCCTGCAATGTCGCATGCCGAGACACGAATGCTCTAATATGAATACCACTAGACAACACTAATGGAGCGAAACGGTCTGTCTTATCATATCGAGGCGTAAATATTGAAAAATATATTACCTGTGGTTGTTTAACATTGACAACACACCTGCTTACCCGAGATCTACCGGAGACTGATTGATTTTGTCTGTCGTCACTATCAAGTGAAGCTACATCAATATTCCTGTAGTAATGGATCCGGACTATGTGTAAAACAGACGTTGAAACGTTGATTAATATTTGATTCGTCTGTCTACAAACGGCAGTTATACAGTTGATGGTACGTGTGTGTAACAGTCGTGTCGGGTACAAAATGGTCGCAATATATGACATTTAAAGGATTGATAACTAATTCAGTGATCTGTCGGGACCGAGAAGATCAGGACTGGAATATATAAACATAGACCTGGCCTACTCTTCTACGCCTTTTCCACAAACAAACACACAAAATGGCGACTCCTGATGAAACTAAATACGGATTCGGTATTTCCATTGCCGTCATTGCTGTTCTTACGCTTGTACTCAATGTGTTGTTTCTCTTTGTGTTCTTCCGACGAAAGAAAATGCGGATTCCTGCCAAATATTTTGTGGCTAACCTCGCCTTCGTTGACATTTTGGCGGCAGGATTGTGGACATCTTTCAGTGTGTTAGCTGTGTTTGGGGACGGCTGGGATCTCTCATACAGCCTCTGTAAACTACAACAGTTCTTTGCCAACTTTTGTGTCCTCATGAACATGCATACGTTATTGTTCCTTGCTTTTGAAAGGACTCTCATGATCTACAAACCCTCCCGCCATTTCGAAGTATTTCGGGGGATAGTAATGATCATTGCTATTGCTGCCATTTGGACTTTTGACGTCGTTTTGTCACTGTTTCCGGTCTCTGGTTGGGGAGAAGTAGCTTATTTCACCACGCAGTACCAATGTGCTATGGACTACGATCAAAACGTTCGACAAATGCACTTCTCGACCGCGATTACATTCGGAATACCCATCGTTTTCCTGGCATTATGCTACGTATTAATTTTCATTCGGATTAAAAAGTTGCGTGATAATATGTCACCGGAAGGTGCCATGACCCTAGAGGTGAATGACGTAGCTGCCGGTGATACGTACGCGGCAAGACTCAAACGTCAACAACTAAAATTCCAAGATGCCGGTAGGAAGCGGAAGAAGCCAACTATTGGTAAGGAGGTGCATTATACTGCGGACGGATACGAAAGTAACGACTCATCTACTGACGAGGAAGACGAGAAAGAGAGGATAACGAAGAAACCTGAACAACAAGGAATGAAACGAGTGTACTATTTGTCAAAGAATGACTACGAGTTGGTGAAGACATACCTGATAACTACTTTTATCGTGATTGCGCTGTGGTATCCCCACATCATCATCACCTACGTTGATTTGTACGAAAGTAATGTCATAATTTCCGCTAATGTCATCCGGGTGCTCGTATGGTTGACCCACGCCGCGGCCTTCGTTAAACCAATTATATATTTCCTCCACAACACAAGCATGCGCACACATCTGAAAAAGGCATTTTGTAAACGTGACAAGTACAAACAAATCAGTAAGAAATCCGGCAAGTATGCTGGAAATGATGAAGACGAAAACGGAGTAGCACAGACGGAACCGGAAGTTTAAGAACATTTTCTTCTTCCGTTGTCGTGGGATGATGACACGATCGGGAGCCGGTCTCTTACATTGTGACATTCGATAGTCTCTGGATGGTTCGTTATTTTGCTGGTATGTTTGCCCAAAATATTGACATGGTAACGGGGCTTTTTCATATTTAAAATTTACATAGGACTGCAGAGAGTTTAACCTTCTCGAACTTGTGTAACTTGAGATATATCCAGATGATTGAGAACAGTAGGATCATGTAACATTGTACAGGTTACAGCTATATAAAGACAGTGGACGTCTATTTCTCCGAGACTAAGTCGTGACTAAGGTAGATAGATCTAAGGTATATACATACGTGTAGCGTTTATTTTTGTACATCCCAAACGTTTTCAAGTATTATTTAGATTTAAAACCCCTATTGATGTGACACTAAATGTATTTCACCAATCTTTCATATATCTAAAGACACGCAAAAAGTATATCCTTAATATAGATAACACTTTTTATATGTTTATTTTTGTCATTTTACATTTTATGCAGGTCATAATATTGTTAACCATGTTTTCATGAATCTACTTATTAAATATCCATAATTAAAAACCAAAAAAAAGTACAACGGTGTTGTTTGTTGTATATGTCTCGTGCTCCAACGTACATTAAAATGTACGTATATTATTTCTCAAACAGTGTTTAGTCGATACGATACATTCTGTGGCAAGGAGGCATACTTTTTTGATAGTTCAACAGGTGAGACATCATTTTAAATGATAAAAATACGAAGATAGGAAAAACATTTTAGATAGATCTGCTTTAATCAGATCTTCATATGTATCACTTTACATTTTCAAAAATGTATACCAATACATGTAAACATTACTACTGATTATTTATATATATTACAGTGCCTAATACATCTTGCATGCACGTTATAGATTTTACTAATCTTTACACGGAGTTATCGTTCCTTACACCGTACATAAAACTTTGCCAATGGCTATATTTGATCTTTATCGGTTATTTTCCAGAAATAGTTTACATAATACATGAATTTGAACTTTATCTTCAAGACGTGTATATATACCTCAATTGAAGTTTTAATAAATTTTTCTTTCAATATCTAACTTTGTTCACGACATGACAAAATGTTGACAAAGGTGTTGACGGCAGAGGTATTTTAACAGAATGGAAACCCTTTAAGGGGACGCTCTCGTTCTAAAGGATTGACTGGTTCGACGAGAGGTGATAGCTTATGAGATGTGACGGACCAAGTGATATGATGATGTATTCTGGCGAGCCTTTGCAAAGCCTTTATGCCATGTATTAAGGTTTGCAGATCCGTCAGGCTTTATCCCTGAAATCGTACATTTATGAATAGACAAACCTTTTTGTCTGCGTAAACGAACAGGTCACCAGTTTAAGTACAGTATAGGGGACATAACTCGATATAGCATCATGTACTACTGAACTTTTTTCAAGCCACCAGGTCGTCCTGGTCAGTAAAAATGGGTTACTTAAAACAACATTTTATCTAGAATACACTAACATATTTTTTACAACGGAACCTCAAACACAGATGGACCACAAGGCGCCAACACGTTCACTTGATGTCACAAAATACATGTATGTAGAATTTCAGTAAAAAGGTGGCCCGAAATAATTTGGTGACAAATAAGGATCTCTAACCCCCAATACGTAAATGCTGTGAATGTACATTTATTTATCATTCCTTTCCTGTTGTAAACCCTGTACTCGGGATGGGTATACAAATGATTTGTGTCACGAAGATAAGTGATGGATTTTACATTCAGTTAAAGTTATTGACTTATTTCCTGACAACATAGATATCGACGGCATTACTAACTGCGCGGTCCTATACTCGTGACTTAGTTCATTGTGGTGTGACTTTATACACAAAAAATATTGAATAAGTTCCGTGTACACTTCACCAGTTAAGCTGTTAAAATCTCATTATCACTTTGTTCTTTGTGTATTTATTTTAAAGAACTTGAAACATTAGTTGTAATTGAAATCGTTTTTTTTTTCTTGTTTGTATATAATCTCAAATTGTTTAGTCTATTGTATAAGTTATTGGGTCTGTCACAAATACTATTCCTAATTAGTTGGGGCTTTTACATTTCATTTGGTCATTTCTAAATTAAAGGCGCAAGACCCACCATTGTTATGACACAATCGAGATGTGTAACGTAACTCAAACGAATTAAAATTGCATAAAAAATACTTTCTTTGTCTAAAGATTTCTTAGGTCATATACATGCGATTCCGATTCATCATTCCGAAATATCCGGGGCTATTCCGCATGTGCGTATCCGACTCCAAAGAGCACGGAGAGAGGGTCAGATCATGCATGACATTAATTTCCCTTAGTTCGTTCTTTCAGACTATCCATTACGTATACGACGGTCTCTTGTCTGTAAGTGATTTTGTCACATGTGCCTTCCCGATTGGACACCTTGCGACATTTTGGGTAATTATACAATGCCTTGAGTTTATCCTATAACTGAGTTGTATATTGAGCCTGACTTTGTCGATATATTATCGGCGTTATAGTGTGTTCATGTATCTGGGTCACATAAACTCTGCTCAACATTTGAAGTGATAATGACTCGCTGTGGGTAATATAGGCCTAAAGGCATATGTAATGAAATGTCAAATTTGTTCTAATTTTACAGAAAACGATCCATTGTAGATAATATGAAGATTTTATGTTGATTTCAGCTAAATTACGTTCATATGAGTTACATCGTTTCGTTGATTTAATTTACTAAGATACATTGTGCTGGTTTCTGTTTTAATTTCTTTTAAAACAAGGCGCTTTGCCTGCAAAAATACACAGACACAGACACTTAATCACCGTAAAACGTCAGGATGTCGAGAAAGTGCCATTTCAATTTTATTTCCGTGTTTACTTGTTTTGCTTTAAATATCCCGCTTTGTCGCTAAGAAATTCCGTTTGATTATGAACTTTTTTTTCAACAATAAAAAGCGACAAATTTCCGTTGTCCAAAAGAACATAATCGTCTTAGAACACCTCACAACTACATGTCCGAAAGAATATTTCTCAAGAAACACCCGTCTGCTTCCAAACTACATTGTACATAATTCTTTATATTCTTTGTTCCGAGTACAAACCTCTATTTCACAGCTGCATCATGCCATAGAGATTTTGTCTCAAGAAACACACGTTAACCTTGTATGCACGTGACAAAAAGATTATGTTATCGAGAATCATTTGTCTATACCATACCAGTGCATGATGCCTCTGACATAGGTCTGAAGAAACTAACGACCACATAATGACGTAGTGTCTCAAGAAACTAACGACCACATAAGGACGTAGTGTCTCAAGAAACTAACGACCACATAATGACGTAGAGACTGTGTCTCGAGAAACAACCGTTATCATAACATCAAATAATGACGTAGTGTCTCGAGAAACAACCGTTATCATAACACCAAATAATGACCTAGTGTCTCGAGAAACAACCGTTATCAGAACATCAAATAATGACGCAGTGTCTCGAGAAACAACCGTTATCAGAACATCAAATAATGACGCAGTGTCTCGAGAAACAACCGTTATCATAGCATCAAATAATGACGAAGTGTCTCGAGAAACAACCGTTATCATAGCATCAAATAAAGACGAAGTGTCTCGAGAATCAACCGTTATCATAAAATCAACTAATGACGTAGTGTCTCGAGAAACAAACGTTATCATAACATCAAATAATGACGAAGTGTCTCGCGAATCAACCGTTATCATAAAATCAACTAATGACGTAGTGTTTCGAGTAACAATCGTTATCATAACATCAAATAATGACGAAGTGTCTCGCGAATCAACCGTTATCATAAAATCAACTAATGACGTAGTGTTTCGAGTAACAATCGTTATCATAACATCAAATAATGACCTAGTGTCTCGAGAAACAACCGTTATCATAAAATCAAATAATGACGTAGTGTCTCGAAAAACAACCGTTATCATAACATCAACTCATGACGTCGTGTCTCGAGAAACATCCGTTATCATATCATCAAATAATGACCTAGTGTCTCGTGAAACAATCGTTATCATAACATCAAATAATGACTTAGTGTCTCGAGAAACAACCGTTATCATAACATCAACTAATGACGTAGTGTCTCGAGAAACAACCGTTATCATAACATCAAATAATGACGTAGTGTCTCGAGAAACAACCGTTATCATAACATCAAATAATGACGTAGTGTCTCGAGAAACAACCGTTATCATAACATCAAATAATGACGTAGTGTCTCGAGAAACAACCGTTATCATAACATCAAATAATGACGTAGTGTCTCGAGAAACAACCGTTATCATAACATCAAATAATGACGTAGTGTCTCGAGAAACAACCGTTATCATAACATCAAATAATGACGTAGTGTCTCGAGAAACAACCGTTATCATAACATCAAATAATGACGTAGTGTCTCGAGAAACAACCGTTATCATAAAATCAAATAATGACGTAGTGTCTCGAGAAACAATCGTTATCATAACAATAAATAATGACGTAGTGTCTCGAGAATCAACCGTTATCATAAAATCAACTAATGACGTAGTGTTTCGAGAAACAACCGTTATTATAACATCAAATAATGACGTAGTGTCTCGAGAAACAACCGTTATCATAACATCAAATAATGACGTAGTGTCTCGAGAAACAACCGTTATCATAACATCAAATAATGACGTAGTGTCTCGAGAAACAACCGTTATCATAAAATCAAATAGTGACGTAGTGTCTCGAGAAACAACTGGCAATTATGCACTCACATGATGACGTAGAGACTGTGTCTCGAATATCAAACCCCTGCTTCCTTAACACAAACAGTTAACGCCATAATCTGAAGTGATTCTGTTTGGGCTTGTGGTGACGAGTTGGATATACTATTTCTCACGATATAAGATAGTGTTAATGGTTAACGTATTTAGGCATTCTTGTCACCCATAAAACATTTGCATC